CGGAGTTTGTTTGCGAAGCAGAAAATTTTTCTTAGCGCTGTTTTCTCGAATAAATTTTTTCACTTGAAGCAGACACTTTAAAGAGTTCTAACTCAAAGGAAATTTGTTCAATTGCCCTCAAATTTGGACAGTACGTAGCTAGCTTAACATATAAACTAAAAAAGCGTGTCTGGGAATTGTTAATTTCGAACTACCTTTTCTTCGAGAGCGATTTTTGCACGATTACTCCCGCATTTTTTTAATCCTATTTCGAAAATGTTCTGTAACTTTTTACTGCAATTGAATATGCCAAAACGCAGACACGTTTTTTAAGCGCTTTGGGCCCTGAAGCCGAGGAAAAAATTACATTGGCGAAAAACGAAATTCGCTTTGACTTGTAGCTTTCGAAAGGTGATTCGGTCGCTCTCATTTAGTGGTCGTGAAAAATTCGACAATTCATTTTATTTCACAATTCTTGGCATAGTTTGATAGCCAGCTCTATAAGCTTTATTTGATATAGGGGTTTAGGTATCTAAAGCTTAATTAAACTGCACGCGCTACATCGCTTGCACGCGAGACACCCCTGAAGGTATACTGTAACCTTAATCAACACAGAAGTGAACAACGTTATTCAGCCATCGGGAAGCACCTGGAAACACAGCATGGCAACAATAGGACAAAGACTGACCGTTTTTTCAAAGTTCTGAGGAAATGTAACAGCAAGTTTGGTTGCTTAGTCTCCGAGATGTTGTACATAAAGGAGATCAAGCCTTCTCTTGTCACGCAGACAGACTCCATTCGCGCCATACTCTTTACGTTACACATTCGTACATTTCTTTTTCCTTATTGTGTTTCTTTCCTTGGGAATTATAACCATATTTTATGTATTGTTTCATATTTCATTTATTCGTATAACACCTTATAATTTGTGATTTTTTAACTTGATAATGGCGTAACGTAGCGCCGAAACTTCATTCGCATTTTTAAAGTGTGTTTTAAAAATCTTTTAGCATTTAACTTCTAGATAATTTCAAACACTGTACTTATTCTTTATCTATTGTACCTATCAAAGGGACGAGCTGTTAAAAACAGTGCTTGAATGACCAAATAGGGTTTCAATCAGTGAAACACGAAGCTCTAAACATTTAGGAAGCAAAAATTACTGTTTTTACAGACAAAACAAAGTAATCAAACAATTTCTAAGGTGGTTCATTAAATTTCAACCGCCTTGTACTTTTTGTGCTTCCTCGATTGTGGGTCGTGTCGTTGGATTTTGTGCCCGTGGATTCAGCTTCGCTAGCCGTCGCATTGAAGATGCGATGGCCACAATAAATATGAGCGCAAACATTTATGTTCCTGTCATATACACCGTAAATTATTGGATTGATTGCTTTGTTAATAAGTGTTCCAAAAAAGGAAACTTCATACAGCGTATGACTATGATGTACACTTTCCGTGCCGGAGGCAATTCTCCAAATGCTCAAGACAAATGTCGGGGACCAGCAGATAATAAAAGCCACCATGATCAAGCAGGCCGTTTTCGTGACTCGCCTTCTGCTTCGTCGAAGAGCAATTTGTGCGGTGGCTCCATGTGCCGACCCTGAAACAGGAGGTTGCCTTCCAAGTGCTATCTTGATCACGTGATAATAACACCCGCAGATGACACAGAAAGGAAATAGGTGGGCCGCACCAAACTCAACAGCTTCGTAAAGCTTGTCGAGCCATGGCAGTGGAATGGAAAGTGGCGTGCACATTTGATAGAAATTAAACTGGACAACTTGAAGCATGTACAGATATGGAGTGGCCACCAAGGCAGGAACTCCCCATGACAGTGCTATCAGCTGCCTAACAAGTCTTGGTTTGAGTTTGGGAAGATGTGGGTGAGCCAAACATCGATATCGATCAACTGCGATAAGTGCATGAAACATTACGGCTGTACCGGACGCCGAGATTTGGACGAAAGCGATGACTTTACAAAGGGATGTTCCGAATATCCATGTACCGAAGAGTCGCCGTATGAACTTGAAAGGGCAAAGCAATATACCGACGACAAGATCCGACAGGACCAGGTTCAAAATAAACTGGTAAGTTGGATGGTTTTTAAGAAGTACTTTCCTTCGCTTGGTCAAAACGTAGGCGACAAGAACGTTACCCACGATGGCCACAATTGTTGCCACTCCTACAATACCAGCACTTGCGATGTTAGAAGCCGAATTTGTCATAGCTAATTTTGTTAGAGCTTAACTCCTTAAAAGATAGTTGCCATGCTGACCCTCGCTTTTGTTCAGTTCGCCCGGCGGTTATTTGACTCGTCCTTGCAATGCGACAACTTAATAAACAGCTAGTCTTTCTTAAACGCGATATTGAATAATAATGTTGTCGACTGTTTAAACTGCGGTGCTTCAAAGGCTTATTCTGCTAAACATAGTGAAATTTCATTAAAAAATAATAGTCACGGTACTTCAGCTGTGACAATAAAGGTATGGATCACCGTAAACCCCTAACGACATCACAAACAAAAACATTGCTTCCTGGAAGCAGTATAAAGTTGAATGTTTAGTCTAGACAATTGTTAAACTGACTCAATTCGCAGGTCGCTCTTTTGGGTTATAAATATCCGGAAAGAACAAACCTTAAAAAGGTTTTAATTTTCCTTCTGCTTTGTCCTTCAAGGAATAGATAAAACTTTACTATCTTTAATAAATTGTGGAAGAACTAAAAACTGACTGCCAACCTTTAATTAAGTATTGTCGTGCTCTCAGGAAATTTTCATTTCATTTTCTATCTGGCTCACCTGCAATTGATGTAATAATGGCATCGCAACTTCAACGTCAGTCTCAATCGATAATTTCGAGCTTTGCGTTTATCAAACAAAAGTTATTTTCATTGCATTTGACAGCTTTGCTTATTGTCATCAAAACTTTAAGATCAAAGATTATGAACTAAATTTTAACTTTTAAATTAACAAAAGAGGGTAAAAACTGTCACTAACTTCGTCATTACCCTCTAAAGGTAGAACGTGTCGTGATCATGAGTTTTCATTATTCATTCAGATTATAGCATCAAACGTAGTCCTGGAGAAATAAATTGAGCTGGGTTGGTAGTACAGTGTTTGATGCATGTACACGTAGTACATCTATTTGATGAAGCGAATCATTTCAATGAGGTTGGGTTCAAATCAACGCAGGATCCCCAGTGAATGCTGGCACTTAAAGTCGCCAGGCGGGGGTCTTTCATTTAAAATTCAATCGCACAAACTCCACGTTTAATCAAACTTTGATTGCTTCTATTCGGGGTTGGGCTTTCACTAATAGAAAATACGACACATGATTCACCAGTTTGTGTGCCAGCGAGGCTCATAACTTGTTGCTTCCTTTGATATATGGTGTGGAAAATATGTCCTTACCCAGTACGATAGGGGTTCCTACGAGAATATTTAATGAATACGCAACAGTATGAAATTTCATTTACAAACTACTAGTAGAATGAATGTAATAACCTAGAGCATGTTTTTGAAAAGTAATGACACTAACGTTAATTGACAACAACAATCATCAAATGTGATTTTCCGGGAAAAAAGCTGCATAGTATTGTTTACACAATTGCCGTGTTGGATTGGATACGCCTAGTAGTTTTCTATTAAATTGCCCGCTGGTGCTGGCACCTTTTACTTCTTGAGGCAGATTGTTCCACAACATGCCTCAAAATAACAGAATCGAACCGCGCGTTTAATCTGTTTGTGCATCAACTTTTCAAATTGTATCTCTGAGGGCGGGAAGTGCGGCCTGGTTGATGACGAAATCGCCCCCTGAAACGATCATGGACTTTCTTCTTAAGAAACTTAATTGGGAAACGTTATCTAACCGTCGCGAGAGGCGGCAGAAACTGACAATGACGTTTAGAACAACAAATAATAATAAAAAAATAATTAAAGTTCTAATTGATTTGCTTCAAGTTTCTCAAGCATCAAGGACTTCAAATAATTTTTCGATGTTTTGAATTGTTACGATTTATAGCCGTTTGTCTCCAATTCTGACGGCTAAAATGGAAAAAGGACAAATTTAATGGCTTTAAATACCAACTCAAGATTGAAAAGTGTACCAAATGATCATTTTTATGCCGTGGACACTTAAAATGGACAGTTTCAGGATTTGGACGCCAAATGGGCCATGCATACGGGCAACACCGCAGAGAAACTTTGATATCATAATCATGGTTAAACCATGAGGAACATTCTTCAAAATGAATATTACATTATTTGCATGCTTTCGATATGAGATAGCCGCATTTTGAAATAAATAAGGTTGAATTGATAAATTTAATGCAAATCGCTGTCAGTTAATGGGAATACCCTTTAAAATTCCCCGCGCGCAAGAATCGCTCAAAGCACCAGCGCCCCGGCGTCCGAAACTATCGAGCAAAAAAACAAAAAAATCAATTTATAGTAAAGCACGTCCTCTGGATGATTTGGAATATACAGCTGTTTCGAGAAAGGTTTACAGATAATAGCTTCAAGCTTAAGCGGGAAGACCGAGTGGTAATCTGGGTGTCTTTTGGAATTCTACAAATTTAGGAAATTAGGAAATCTACAAATTTATATTTTTGCAACGATACATAAGATTTTTTCGCTCATAAGACCATTTTTCTGTAGCTTTCTCCACTGTTATATGACTTTCAGCTGAAAATTCTTCTAAAATTCAGTGTGGCGAAAAGCACCTTGTTCCCATAAGTCAGAGGAAAAAAGAAAACGTACGAAGTTGTGCATGCAGTTTGCCGTGTTGTTATATCTGATTAAATATTTAGCCTGTCCAACAGCTCTCTACTTCTTCTCATAGTACCTTTCGGGGTTGTCGCGAGAACTTTTACGCTCTACTCCGACAATATTACTCGAGACAGCTGCATACATATCGACTTACGGTCCGATACAAGCTTGCAAGTGTTTGCCCCAAACGAGTGACGTAAACTCTTGCACCCAAATCTGACGGAAATTGATCTTCAGAGGTTATGCGACAAGGAAGTTCTAAATATCCAAGCATAATTTTCTTTTTTTACGACATGACAAAAGAAAAACTATCAGGCAATTCTTAAGATGGTCCCTCAAATTGCAACTGCCTTATTGTGTTTTTACTGCCACATTTGTGGATCCTGACGTTGGATCTAACGCCACTTGATGCAGCTTCATTTACCGACTCGTTGAAGACGCGACGGCCGCAAAAGATGTAACCACAAACATTCATGTTCTGGTCATATACACTGTAAATGATTGGATTGATGGCTTCGTTAATAAGTGTTCCAAAAAAGGAAACTTCATACAGTGTATGGCCATGATGTACACTTTCTGTGCCGGAGGCAATTCTCCAAATACTCAAGACAAATGTCGGGGACCAGCAGGTAATAAAAGCCACCATGATCAAGCAGGCCGTTTTCGTGACTCGCCTTCTGCTTCGTTGAAGAGCAATTTGTGCAGTAGGTCCCTGTGCCGATCCTGAACCGCGAGGTTGCCTTCCAAGTGTTATTTGGATCACGTGGTAATAACACCAGCATATGATACAGAAAGGAGATAGGTAGGCCACACCGAACTCAACAGCTTCGTAAAATTTGTCGAGCCATGACAGTGGAATGGCAAGTGGCGTGCACATTTGGTAGACATTAACCTGGACAATTTGAAACATGTACAGATATGGAGTGGCCACCAAGGCAGGAACTCCCCATGACAGCGCTATCAGCCGCCAAACGAGTCTTGGTTTGAGCTTGGGGAGATGGGGATGGGCCAAACAACGATATCTATCAGCGGCGATAAGTGTATGAAACATAACAGCTGTACCGGACGCCGAGATTTGGACGAAAGCGACGATTTTACAAAGGGCTGTCCCGAACATCCATGTACCGGTGAGTCGCCGTATGAATTCAAGAGGGCAAAGGAATATACCAACCACGAGATCCGACAGGACCAGATTCAGAATAAACTGGTAAGTTGGACGGTTTTGAAGAAGTACTCTCCAACGCTTAATCAAAACGTAGGCGACAATAATATTACCTAGGATAGCAAGAAGAGTTATCACTCCTACTGTGAAAACATTTGCGATGTGATAAGTTGCATCTGCCATATTCAGTCTAGATTCAGTGTTACTGAAGTGAGCATCATTCGCTGCAATGATAAACAAAATGATAAATGAATTTTAGCCATGCTTGCTCTACATTCATTATGTATAAAACAGGGTCATGTAAATGATTTGTTAAAGACCGGGATGCCGCTAGCACCTTTCAGGGAAGTGGTCAGCTTAAGTGGATGGCGCAAAGAAAATGACAACTGACTGAAAGACAATTAAGAAATAGTTTGATTACTTGTTTATTGTCATATCGTCGGTAGAAGACAAGCAACATGATTGGTGACTTTGAAATCGAACATTCATCTTGCGCAATTAAAATCAACAAGATGTTGATATCCATTACTTGTAGCGCTCTAAACAAGGAAGCTAGGGAAGCGAGATTATAGGTACAGAAAGTTGGTTAATATTGAAAATCGTGAGTTATTCACCTTTCGGAGATACTTGTAGTGAATTTCTCAGAAATTTGTTCAAATTAACCGAAAGCTAGAAAGGACCATAGCCTAGTGTTAGTCATATTGAAAAGGACAGTAAAATATGTAGTTGTCTTTTTAAATGCGCTTCCTAAGTAAGTCGGCAAACTTCTTAAGACGAGCAATGTTTACTGAGAAAATATTACAAAGCACAAGATTTACACCAAATTAAATTGACATTGTAAATCACTTTGAAATCAAACACATTATAGAAACTGAGTTGTATAGCGACTCTATGGCAAACAGTGTTTTAGTGAGACTTTTCCACAGCCAAAAAAGAGTTCACGTTTCGTTTTGAAGCTCTTGAGTTTTTATATACATCCGGCAATATAAAAAGCAATTAAATTTTTCATATTCGTGTTCAGTGTGAATTCGGGTCTGTAATTTACTTCAAATTAAAGACTCCACGTTTCCAGAGCCCAATATAAAGGATTATCATTTGAGCACTTTCCGCTTTTTTGTACACTATACACCTTTTGCTGTTCATTTACAGAAAATAAACATTCATTTGTGTCCAAGTTTCTTTCAGTATGATCATTAAACTGGCATTAACACCAATATGACCTTCATTTGCGCGTAAGGAACGTTCAAGAAAAACATTTACATATGCATTAACATTCAAAATCATCAATAGAAAAACAATAC